TATTTTCTAGCTTTCTTAGGATTATTTTGCTGGCCCTTTCCTTTTTCCTTTTCAAGAGATGGACAATCCTATCTAAAATGACCCGGTTTTCAACTTTCATAGTGTGATACGGTGGGAAGAGAACTGACTATTTTTGGAATGCTGGTTCGCATTTTGCATTTTTTTCCGCAAAATGTCGCGGTAAGCAAGAGTCGCCACCGACTTTTATTTTATCCAACGGAAAGGAAAAAAGCATAGAAAAATTCCTTTTTTGAGATGTTTCTCGGGTCCGGGGGGTAGATTATAGAAAGGGAAGGTGTTAGCACCCTTTCTATCCGTGGTTATCCACGGGCTCTTAGGTACTTGCTCATTGTGTTTTCAAAATCTTGCTTTTCTTTGTGTTTGTGGGTTTGAAAAGAGTTTTTTGTTTGAAAGGTGTAAGTGGGAAAAGTTTTGTTTTGTTTTAGAAAGAGCAAGTACTTAAGAACTATCTACCTACTCAAAAAAGGAATCAATCTGTGCTAATGTCCTTTAGACAGTGCTATCCCACTATTGATGAGTAGGTAGCACTGTCGTTGGAGTTTTAAGGGTCAATTCAATTAAGGGACGTGTGGTCACTAAAGCAATGTTAGGACGCCTTAGTGGTAACCCTAATGTATTAGATCATTTTTCCGAGGCAACCGTTTCAAGGAAACTATGATCTTTAGACAAGAGGGAAACCTCTAAAACTTCTTATGCTTAATGACCACGTTCGAAGGCAACCAAGTGAGGTGTACCCTAAGAGTGCGCATGTGCGAGTGTGTTATTTCGGTTAATTTTATCTTTGTACATGTCAATGGTGAGCTATGTTGATTTTAGGTTAAAGATTTGATCTTGTCATGCATTCCCTATTATCAAACATCTAACAATTAATAGTTGCGGAATTTAAATTGCAGAAATTAAATCTAAACTATTACAAGGCGTCGGGTATTTACATCGCCAAAAACAACCCTTGAAATTTAAATTGCGGAAAATAAAAGAAAGCGATAAAATAATTCAAAGTTCTATTTAAAGCTATTACATTCCGGGAGCAATTACAATATTGGTAAAATGGATCGCGTGCGAGAAATTAAAACGGCGCATTTTTTAGGGTTTTGACCCTTTTTTTGAAAGAAATCATCTTTTTGTTATTTTTGAATTTATGGAAATTAAATCTAAGTTAATAATTAAATTAATTAATAAAAAAGGATATTTTTGGATTTTTTATATTTAAGGAAATAAAATAAATTTGGTCAAAATTATTAAAACCTAATATTCTACATTAATTTTAATTATTGCAAAAATATTGAAATTATACCTAATTAAAGCTAAATCAATTAAATTAATTTATTTACAAAAATAAAGTCAAATTCAATTTTAATAAATAAAAATAATGTTTTTTGATTTTATGAGGAAAAATAAATTGATTGGTTAATTAAACAATAAAAAAAAAATCAAAATAAAATAAATAAAATGAAAATATAAAAAAGGAAAAGAAATAACCCAAGGGGGGTTCAGGCCCAAATCTGGAGGTGTGATAGCAATTCCTTGGCCCATTTGTACAAGCCTGATTGACTTTTCTAGATCCCACGTGACACGTTGACTGGGCATCATGGTGGGTCTGCAATCTTGGCCATTGGATTTGGCCTTGAGGCCATCTGGCAAGTGATCAAGTGATGATGCACGGTGTACCATAATTGCTGAAGCGCGCTGGATCTGCTGAAGAAAAATAATAATAGGCAATATGGGGGACCTGGGATTCGAACCCAGGTCCCATGAGACTTTCCACTAGCGCCTTCACCAACTGAGCCATTGTGTTTTATTGTTAGTATATTAAGTAGTGAATATTATATTGAAAAACAAATCATATGCCTGGAATTAAAAAAAATGAGCGCCAATAATTTGAATCAACGAATAGGACGTGGCCACGTAATCGTCTTCTTCGCTGGCCCCTGTATATTTTCCTGCGGATTCTTATCCGCAGCAAAATCCGTGGCTTCATCCTATAATGAATTCTAGGCCACAAAAATGCAAACTAAGGCCATCATCATGCTCGCCTCTTCCTCATAAATTCATCCATGGCCAATGATAGTGCTAATTTTACCTGAAACGAAAATGCCTAAAAACAAGAAACCCAAACCCTAGTTTTGGGTAGGGCTTTACAGGCTACAAAAACTCAATTGAATATTGTAGAATGATTGGAAATTGAATGATAAGCATTATTATACAAAAAATTTGCTCAAAGGATGCAGGAATATGGAGTCACGATTTCATGTACAGGGTCATGTTCATGGACACTTACAGCGCGATTCAAGTAGGGAGAAGGCTTGATTTTGATCCCAATAGCTTCAATGGACGTCAAGCAAGAACACCACGTTGAGTTTTGGCCTTGAATTTGCCTCTAGTATGGATTTCAGTTTTCAACTTTTTCAAGCTTTTTCAAGTTTTGGTTTTGTGAATTCTGCAGCCTCTAGGTCGTGTTCTCTGTGCCTTTGCCTTGTGTGAGTATAATAGAAGCAATTAGGTTTAATTTTGGGCCTTGAATCCATGTGAATTGATGAATTAAGATTTGATATGATCCTCCATGAAAGCCTTTCCAATTTGATCAAAAATCCAATATTTTGTGCATAATAAGGCTTGATACGAATTTGATTGTGTTCATGATGTCAATTAAGACCTGTAATGATAAAAAAGATATCAAGTTATCAATTTTTAGATTTTATTTAGATTTAAATTTATTTAAAATGAATTAATTCAATAAAAATCAAATGAAATAGAAAAATTAATGAATGGACGTAAAACTGAAGATAGGACACGTGTGTGGTGTGACAAGATCAAATCAAGTGGAAAAAGTGGGCCCATTTGACAAAATTTGAAGTTTTGGGGATAGTTGACTTTTGGCAATTTTGGAAAAATTCCCAACTTCAACAATGCATAACTTCTTCAATTTTGAACTTTTGGAGGTGTTCTTGGACTTTTTAGAAACATTGAGATGTCCTCTAACCAACCCTTTTGGTCTCATATCATTTTGATATTCCATGCTCAAGTTATAAGCTTTGGAAAAAAGGTGTTTTTGTTGACTTTCAAAAATGACCTATAATATCCAAATTTGTAATTTCTTGTGAGTGCATTTCTTGATCTTGGGGTGTGAAGATGGATTGTAGGAAATTTCATCCTCTTCAAAATGATATTTGGACGGGTCATTTTTCATAAAGTATGAGAAAGTTATGCTTGGTCAAAGTTGAGTTGACTTTTCCTACAAAACCCTAATTTAGCAACTTTTGAATCTTGATGAATTTTGAACAATCCTTGATGAATCATAATCAAACCTTGATCAAATGATGAATTATCCTTAAAAATGATAATGTTGACAAAAAATCTTGAGGTTTGACTATTTGTAGGCCACAATTGACTTTTGGACTAGCACAGTCGATTTTTGGACCTCTTGAGCCATTGACTGACCAAACTTCCTCTGCAAGGCTTAAAATTTGACATGGATGAACTTGAGAACATATTACGACATTGGGGAGCACTTGAGGTCATTTGGATGTAAGGACCTTGATGCAACACAAAACCCTAATTTGAGATTGACTGCCTTAGGAGATGATTTTACTGTTCAACTCTTGAGCTAATCTTGAGCCACTTGGGGATTCTTCTTGAAATGTCTTGAGAAACATGGGAGGGCAAATTTTGGGGTACAACAGTTGCCTCTGTTCAATCTTCTTAAACCTGAGGATATAGATTGGCTTTCGAGCCTTTCGTGATCCGAAGGTAGAAGATGATTGAACACTAGAGTGCCCAGAAATTTGCACTCGCATGAACTGGTATCAACATGGTGATGTCGGGAATGGGCTTACAGATGCCATTTGGAGATTACTGGTAGGTGGTTTTGTCTTCTTTGACAGAATTGGCATCAGAAAAATCTTTAGGAATCGATTTAACTGGACCAGGGGAGGTTTTGTCTTCTTTGACGAGTTGTCTCTTTTGACGGGTTGTCTCTTTTGATGGGTTGTCTCCTTTGACAGGTTATCTCCTTTGACGGGTTGGCCTCCGAAAAATCTTTAGGAATCGATTTAATTGGTTTTGTCTCCATTGACGGGTCGACCTCAGAAAAATCTTTAGGAATCGATTTAACTGGTTTTGTCTCTATTGACGGGTCGGCCTCAGAAATATCTTTAGGAATCGATTTAACTGGTTTTGTCTCCATTGACGGGCCGGCCTCAGAAAAATCTTTAGGAATCGATTTAACTGGTTTTGTCTCCATTGACGGGTCGGCCTCAGAAAAATCTTTAGGAATCGATTTAACTGTTTTTGTCTCCATTGACGGGTCGGCCTCAGAAAAATCTTTAGGAATCGATTTAACTGGTTTTGTCTCCATTGACGGGTTTGGCCTCAGAAAAATCTTTAGGAATCGATTTAACTGATTTTGTCTCCATTGACTGGCTTGCCTCAGAAAAATCTTTAGGAATCGATTTAACTGTTTTTGTCTCCATTGACTGGCTTGCCTCAGAAAAATCTTTAGGAATCGATTTAACTGTTTTTGTCTCCATTGACTGGCTTGCCTCAGAAAAATCTTTAGGAATCAATTTAACTATTTTTATCTCCCTTGGCTGGCTTGCCTCAGAAAAATCTTTAGGAATCGATTTAACTGTTTTTGTCTCCATTGACTGGCTTGCCTCAGAAAAATCTTTAGGAATCGATTTAACTGGTTTTGTATCCTTTGACTGATTTGGCTTCAGAAAAATCTTTAGGAATCGATTTAACTGATTTTGTCTCCTTTGACATAGCTGAGAACTTAACTGCATCTTTCCTGAAAGGTAAAGGTCAGTCATATACAATGCATGATATGGATCAAGCAATGATGTTCTCAACATAAATGAGATTGTATGGTATGATGCGTATATGCATGTACTATGATGTATGGAAATGTGATATTTTAGTTGGGGAAAATAAATCCCAGATAGCTGTTGGAGAAAGAGTTAAATTCTTCGTTTCCGCTGGGGATGATGAACGAAGGTAACTGTGAGAATAAACCTGCAGGAGAAGATAACTCCGTTGGGGAATATACTGATGAGGAGATTACTCCGAGGGGAATTACTCTGTGGGGAAGATATGCTCTGCTGAGGATTTTAACGATAAACTTCGCCGGGGATGCTGCTGATAAACTCCACTGGGGATGGGTTACCGTTGCTGGTGATACTGAATCTGCTGAGGATTGAACTCCTGCTTGTGAGAGGAAAGAACTTCGCTGGGGATGATCTTTCAGTTGCAACTTGCTGGGGATAATCCTATTAGACTCTTGTGGGGATAATCCTTTGAGATCTGCAGGGAATGACCTTTTGCACTCGGCTGAGGAGATTTACTTTTGTACTCCGCTGGGGATAGACTTCCAGAGTCTACTGGGGAAGATGATTCAACTCCGTTGGGGAAGCTTTTTTAAACTGTGCTGGGAAAATATTGATTCCACTGGGGATATCTTGTATGCTACCGGGGAATATTCTTATACTCCGTTGAGGAATATTAAGGCTGTTGGGGATGCTCTTATACTTACTGGGGAATATTCCTGTTCTCCGCTGGGGAATATTAAGACCTTCTGGGGAAACCAAGCCTTTTTAGGGCTGATGGTAGATTAACTCTGCTTGGGGAGAGTATTGTTGATTCATTCATGGTTGTAAGTCTCAGCTGAGAAAGAGCTGCCATTACTGTCTTACTCTGCGGGGAGTGAAGGTATCAAAGCCATATTCTTCAGCTGAATCTACCATTGTACCTGATGGAAATAGCAACTGAAGAGCTCGGACAATTCTTATTGCCCCTGCTTCTGATATTACCGGTAATTCATCTTTTGTTTCGCATGTAAACATTCATGAGCAGCAATTAATGTCAAATGCATATATCAAAAATGAACATTGGACGTTCTTTGCAAAACAAAACAGATAAAGGAAAAAACAGTTTGAAATTTCTTTGAAAATGAATTGTATTGATTTTGAAGTTGGGCCTGTAAATAGGCGTTTTTTGTACAAGAGGCTGACGTCCTAGTAAGAGAACACCGCCGAACAAATAGAATTTATACAATTTTAAAGAAAACAAAAACAATAATGTGAATAATCCCACTGGGTTCCAACTCTGCTATTGCCTTGATATCCTCGAGCATCTCATCACTTTGCTACTGGTTGAAGATGAATCAGATTGATTAGTGCCGTCCGAGCTTGATGGTTGATACCGAAGTTTGGATGCAAGGTGATCCAATGAGACATAGCGTTACGCTTTGATCCCTAATTTTTGCCTGGACCACCCTTTCGAGTTTTCAGTCCACCGGGATTCCCCATTTTTGCCCAAGCCGCCTTTTCAGGTTTTCGACTTGCCGGGTGTACAATTTTTTTCATTTTCATCCCTTATTTTTGCCTGAACCCTTTTGGTTTGCCGGGAAGCCCTTATTTTTGCCTAGGCCAGTCAACCTAGCGGGTCTTTGATCATGCGTAGTATCTTTTCACTATTTCTGCATTGACGGGGTGAGGAAGGTCGTCACCATCCATGGTGGTTTGAATCATAGCTCCTCCTGAGAAAATGTTCTTAACCACAAATGGCCCTTCGTAAGTAGGGGTCCATTTGCCCCTGGGATCACCTTGAGGTAAAATAATGCGCTTGATTAACAGATCTCCAACTTGATACTCTTGTCGTCTGACTTTCTTGTTAAATGCCTTGATCATCCGTTTTTGGTACGTCTGACCATGACAAATAGCAGTAAGTCTCTTTTCGTCAATTAGGTTTAGCTGATCAAGTCGGGTCTGAATCTAGTCATCTTCACCGAAACCTGCATCCTTCATGATCCGAAGAGAGGGTATCCGAACTTCAATGGGCAAGACTTCCTCCATGCCATATACCAAGGAATAGGGTGTTGCCCCTGTTGACTTCCGAGCTGAGGTACGGTACCCATGAAGAGCAAACGGTAACATCTCGTGCCAGTCTTTGTATGTCACTGTCATCTTCTGCACAATCTTCTTAATGTTCTTATTAGCCGCTTCTACAGCCCCATTCACCTTCGGCCGGTAGGGAGAAGAGTTGTGATGCTGTATCTTGAATTTCTCACAGAGCTCAGTGATCATTTTGTTGTTGAGATTGGTACCATTGTCCGTAATGATCCTATCGGGTACACCATATCAATAGATCAGATTATGCCGAATGAACCGTGCCACGACGTTCTTGGTTACTGTAGCAAAGGAAGCTGCTTCAACCCACTTCGTAAAGTAATCAATCGCTACCAGGATGAAACGATGCCCATTGGACGCTGTAGGTCTGATCTCGCCGATCATATCAATGCCCCACATTGCAAAAGGCCAAGGTGTCGTCAAGACGTTCAGAGGAACTGGAGGTATGTGCACCTTATCAGCATAGACTTGGCACTTGTGACATGTCCGAGAATGCTGATAATAGTCGGTTTCCATTGTGGACCAATAATATCCTGCCCGAAGGATTTTCTTTGCCATGGTGTGTCCACTGGAATGAGTTCCAAAAGTACCTTCATGTAAATCTGTCATGATCCTTTCTGCTTCATTCTTATCCATACAACGCAGCAAGGTCGAATCATGGTTACGCTTGTAAAGGATGCCATTGCTGATGAAGAACTTTGCTGCAAACCTCCTCAGAAACTTCTTGTCATTAACAGATGCACCCACGGGGTATTCCTGAGCTTCAAGATACCTTTTTACCTCATGATACCAGGGTTTTTCTGTTACCTCTTCAGTCTCAATGTCACAGCAATGTGCAGGTTTGTCCAGTCTTTCAATGATGATCCGGGGAGCTTCATTGTCCCAATTGACCTTGAACATAGAAGACATTGTAGCTAGCGCGTCCGCCAATTGATTCTCCTCCCTAGGGAAATGTTCAAAGGTTATCTCCTCAAAATGGGGAAGCAACGTCAATACATACTCCTTGTAAGGAATAAGGTTCAGGTGTTTCATATCCCACTCGCCTTTGATCTGACTGATCACGAGAGCGGAATCTCCGAAGACACTTATAAACTTAATCCTTAGGTCAATAGCAGCTCGAAGACCCATAATGCACGCTTCATACTCCACCATGTTGTTGGTGCAGTTGAAACATAGTCGGGCGGTGAACGGAGTATGAGAGCCTTTAGGAGATATGATCACAGCGCCAATGCCGTTACCCAAAGCGTTCGAAGCTCCATCAAAGTACATAGACCATCGGGATCCTTCCTCAGGTCCTTCATCCGGTCCAGGTGTCTCACAATCAGTTACCAACATGATATTCTCATCCGGAAACTCAAAGTTCATAGACTGGTAATCATCCACTGCCTGATGTGCCAAATGGTATGCCAACACACTTCCCTTAATTGCCTTTTGGGTCGTATATTGGATGTCATACTCAGTCAAGATCATCTGCCATCTCGTTATTCTTCCGGACAAGGCAGGCTTTTCGAAGATATACTTGATTGGATCCATCTTTGATATCAACAAAGTAGTGTGAGTCAGCATATACTGTCTCAGCCAGCGAGCAGCCCATACCAAAGCGCAACAAGTTTTCTCGAGCAGTGAGTATCGGGCCTCACAGTCGATAAACTTTTTGCTAAGGTAATAGATAGCATACTCTTTTCGGCCAGACTCGTCATGTTGACCCAACACACACCCCATTGAGTTGTCGAGTACTGTCAAGTATAAGATCAGAGGTCTCCCTTCAACTGGTGGCATTAGAATAGGTGGATCTTGGAGATACTCTTTGATTCTTTCAAAAGCGGCCTGACATTCATCATTCCAACGTACCACTTGATCTTTCTTCAACAGCTTGAAGATTGGTTCACAAGTAGCAGTCAGGTGTGAGATGAATCGGGCAATGTAATTCAGTCGTCCCAGGAAGTCTCTGGCTTCTTTCTCTGTTCTGGGAGCTGGCATCTCCTGTATAGCTTTCACTTTGGCAGGATCCACTTGAATACCTTTTTCGCTAACGACGAAACCTAGTAGTTTACCAGATCTCACCCCGAAGGTGCACTTGTTCGGGTTTAGCCTTAGCTTGTACAACTTCAGCCTGTCAAATAACTTCTACAGAGGGTCAAGGTGTTCCTCCTTAGTTTGGGACCTTGCAATCATATCATCGATGTATACTTCAATCTCATGATGGATCATGTCATGAAACAAAGCAACCATGGCACGCTGATACGTTGCCCCAACATTCTTCAGTCCAAAAGGCATGACCTTGTAGTAAAAGGTGCCCCACTGAGTAACAAAAGTAGTCTTCTCCATGTCTTCGGGAGCCATTTTAATCTGATTATAATCGGAGAAACCATCCATGAAGGAGAATACCTTGTGCTGAGCGGTGTTGTCAACCAGAACATCGATATGAGGTAGAGGGAAATCATATTTGGGGCTCGCCCTGTTCAGATCCCTATAGTCAACACACATTCGAACCTTACCATCCTTCTTCGGCACGGGAACCACATTGGCCACCCACCGAGGGTAAGAAGTAACTGCTAGAAATCCGGCGTCAAACTGTTTCATAACTTCAACCTTGATTTTCTCAAACATCTCTGGACACATTCGGCGAACCTTCTGTTTTACTGGAGGACAATCTTCCTTGCTAGGCAGGCGATGAACCACAATATCAGTATCTAACCCAGGCATATCTTTGTAAGACCAGACAAAGATCTCAACATAGTCACGCAACATCTGAATCAACCGCTGTTTCACACTAGCTTCCAGATTTGCACCGATCTTAACTTCCTTCTTGTCTATCTCAGTACCTAGATTCACTGATTCCACCGGCTCTTCATGTGGCTGTATGGCCCTCTCTTCTTGGAGTAGCAGTCTAGCAAGTTCGCCAGGAACTTCGCAATCATCTTCACCTTTGTCTTCGGCTAAGTTGATCGGATTTTCAAAGTCATAATTGGCAGTAGCAGAGTCGTTACCAGTAGGATCCAGAGTGGATGTGGACCTGTATATGTGAGTGTGTGTAAAATAACTGTTTTGCAATATATAAAAATAAAAACAAGGAGCGCAAAATTTGAGATGTAAGAGAACGTCCAATGCTTTTATTAATGATATATGAAGATGACACACAAAAGCCCTCACAAATGAAGCCATAGTGCCCCGGGTAAGACACCGGGCCATAAAGTTTAAAACATTGTCTGTTACATATGCAAAGCAAAAGGTTTCATTACTGGGTGATAACAGAAATGGGCATAGAATCCTTCGCTGTCCAGTTGCTTAATCCACCATTGGCAGTTGGGTAGATTCAGCTGTCAATGTCAAACTCTTCATCATCGTCATCCCTGATAGTATTCACCCCTGCATCTTGTTTAGGCTTCTCTGGTGCTCCGAACTCAATCTCCTTTGCATCGATCAAGTCTTGTACCTTGTTCCTCAAAACCCAACAATCATCCGTATTATGCCCCGGGCTATCAGAATGGAAAGCACAACGGGCATTAGGGTTGTACATCGGTGATGTTGTATTTGGATTCTTCGGGGCTTCCTTTAGAACCACCAGATTGGTTTTCAGTAACTGTGGCAGAATCTGAGACAAAGTCATGCTGAGACGAGTGAATTGCCTCTTGGGTCTCTCGTCCTTTTGTTGATTGTTGTACTGAGGAGCACCAACAAATTTTGAAATAACAACCACATTCACA